TGGGCTCTTGCAGCTCGGGATTGTTTATGTGTTGAATTAAAAATATTGTATTATGTTTAGTGGACTGTATTTTTACTATTTTTATTACAATAATGATTAAGATAAATTTGTTATGACATCTATCAACATTATTTTTTTTTACAACTTTTCTTAACTACCAAATAAAAAGCTACTGTGATGCGTAATGTTTAAAATGAACGCTTGGTGCAACAAGCTAAATAAATATTATACACACATTTTTTTTTAATTCTTACAATAAATAATGTTGGCGATCCCTACTATAAAGTTACAATAGAAATTTCTATTTTCAGTAAATTGAACTGGACCAACTCTTATTATTATTTTTAAGCACTTCCAATATTTATTTTAATAGTAGGTACCATTTTTAGTCTCATTCTACAATTTCAAAGTTGTTTTTTTGTAGGTGTTTAATGAAAAATTATTAAAAGAAAAGCCAAAGAAATTTGTATGTTAAAGTGTGTATAAAATTTTTTATTAAAATCTTAGCTGAGCGCTTTTGACTACATAGTCATCATCGGAGCTATTCCTAAAATATCAACAAGAGGTTGAAATGACATTATATAAAGCAAAAAATTTTTACTTACGTTAAATTTTAGATACCAAAAAATATTTAGGAAACGTTGAAAATCTTAATAAGTTCGACATAACAATATACAACATTAAATATAACATCAATTACTGGTAAATAACACGAGAAAAAAAACAGAAATTGACTTGAGCTTTTCTTTTAATCACCGAAGTGTGTACTCAAGATACAGTCGTTATTTTTTAAAAAAATTATTAGTTGTAAAATGTATCTTCATTGTTTTCAAAAGTGGTTCAAGTAACTGCATATTTATTTTATATCACAATAATCTCATGACGGCAAAAGACAAAAAGATTTGCAGAATTAATAAAAATCAATATGGTTTTGAAAAAATAATCGCAAATTTGTACCTACATGATGTCCACATTATTTTTTTATTTCAAATAACGCCAGAAATCACTACGACCGTCCAATGCTACTTTAGCTTTGAAACAATAAATCAAACTTACCGATTGGTGAATTTCTGCATTTTACATGAACTGTGATGTTTCTTTCTATATCTGCATTAGCAAAGGGTGATGTAATAGTTAATTCACTAATCACTACAACTGCGTTAAACTACGACATTAACACAGCACTAACATTTAATAACAAAAACTTAGTGGAATTCAGTTAAATGTAAATAATTCTTATCTTATAAAAAGTTACAACTTTTTTGTTAATGCAAAAACAATTACCGGCGACTCGCGACGACAGCAAATATGAAAAAAAAAACAGGTACAATCTGTAATCTTAATCTAATTGCAATATTTCAAAAATATAATACATACTTAGTATCGCTTTTTAATTTAATTAGGAAATTATGATTAAAAAAGGAAAATCGTTCTTAACTTTTTTATTTATCTTCTCAAAATCTAATTTTTTAATGAATGAACTTATACGTATATGCATATGCACATTGATACCCTACCCAATTCAAATAGAAACGCTCTTGTAAAGAGACTTATTACTTATTTGATAAAAAATTCTATTACATCACATAACATTTGAATTACATTTTTTCAGTGTTCAATTTGACAAAAATTGTTTAGCAAACCTGCATTCTCTGAAATCAACCAAAAAGTCAGTAATATTCATATTTGTTCTGATGACTGTAGACAGGTATGCAGTCATCTTTTAACAGTAGTAAACCATTAGAATAGCCTCGATTAGGATAAATACTGTCCATTTTGAAAACTAGATATTTCATGAACTTATGTTGAACTTTTTCTATAAATTATATAGGCAACACATGATACAGTTTACTGCAAATTATATTGCCTGTATTACAATGTCAAATAATATAATATATTTATTGTGATCCTCCAGCGCTTTAGAAAATAATAAATATTAAATTTTGACCACTGTGCCTATTACTCCCTACTTAATTTTTTTATCCCTAAAAATTATAGTCTATTAAAATATATCTTACCTATGTGATACAAGGATACAACTTATATTTGACAGTCATATGGGTGGACCAGCATCATTCTAAATACGAGGATTATGACTCAAGAAGTTAAAGATTTATGCGGCAGAGAGAGCGGAATATTATAATTAGTATATAAATTCACTTATACCTTCATATATTCATTTTCGTTCATTTATGTTCCATAAAGAAAACACTACACAAATACAATTTCTGTAATTTATACAAGTTTTAAACGTACTTAATTCCTGTTTCAGATCAGCTTGTTACTGCTATCAGCTTTATGTTTTTCACACGGCACATTCAGGAAACTGAGAAAGTGGTATCGTAGCTTTAAACCTTTCTTCGGCCACTTTAAGAAAAGTCAACCCCACCATGAACACGTCGTCCACAAGCAAGTCGTCCACCATAAGAAAATCCCTCATCATTACCACACCGATCATCTCTATGGTCACCATAGCGACTATGATCACTATGACCACCACCTGGACTATGACCAGGAACTTCAGGACAACTATTTTCATGGTTTTGACGATGACTTTGGTTTTAGAGACCATCACGAAATTAGTTTTAATCATGACCTACATTCTTTTGATTACTTGGATCATAGGGGAACTTTACATCATGGATGTGAATAAGATTTTTTTTGATACATCAATTGAAATTATTTACTTTATGGCTGAAGCTACTGTACTGTAATGCAAAAATAAATATCTAGTCGATTCTTTTATTTAAAATGAATAAATACTATTCAGAACTAGGGTCCCGATTTTTTCTAGAAATCCCGCATGCTTGACAGAGTTGACCCCAAAAATCATAATTATTAAAATCATAACCATTGTCTGAGCGACGGTTCATTTGAGGCGGCCTTAGAACCAACAATGAGAGTCGAAATCAATATCAGGACGGAGATTCTGCTAGTAAGACTGCCCCCACATTGCCCAGCCCTAGAACAACAATGGCAGGTCTAATATTCCTAAGCGAGTGCAATGTTCTGCAACTAGCGGCAACCAGGGACATATGACGCAAATAACAACCCAAAAAATCATGGTACTTTGAAAAAAATTATTCAACTAAAACAAGTTGTGGCAAAACTTTAATTAAAAATATAACTTTTAACATTATGTAACTCCGTAATGTCGCAGGAACTTATACTTATTTTTGTGGTCCTAACTGGGGACTTGGGGACATCTTACATTGTTTTGCTTATTACGGTTAAAATATAGATCTATACTTTTATCTTTATATCTTTGATACAATTATATAACAAGATTATTAAATTTTGCGTGCGCTTACCTGTTTTTTGTATCTCTCATGTCTCAAATACTGTTGGAGTAATACTATGCAAACGGACAGATTGTCATCAGTTTCCTGCAACACTCCGCTTAATTATTTTAATAACTGAACTATCGACCGCGGCACATACCTTGAGCTTTTCCTGGAGTACATATAGTTTCTCTTCTATGGAAGCCATTCTTGTTTACTATATTACTATAACTAGTACCTTGTCGCGTGTCATAGGCTTATCGATTATTTCATAAATTAGAATCATAACCGAAACATGCGATCCGGTATTCTTAAGACATATCACGAAATAGGTCTGTTGAACTTCCCTCGAATAGACTAAATTTGGAACGTACTATTTTTAGGTTATTTAAGAAATAGGTTAAGCCTAATTTGCCCCAGAAACATTTTATAAATGATTTTAACAATAAAAATTATGAGCTATAAAATAAATTTGTGTTTTAAATCCTGTAACTGCGTTGATTGAAGCAGTGGCATCACAAACTGTTCCTTTGCACCACGTATTAAATTACTGTCAAGCAAAAAACTGTTTTCTTAGTGTGTTGTAAAAATATCTCAGTAGACAAATTTCCCTTGTATTTTTATAACTAAATTACTAATTTCTTTTTGTTAAAACTAAAAAATGAATATTTAGAAAGTGGGCATATAAAGGATTACCAAAATTCAGGCAAGAAATAATTTTTCTAGAATACCGTTATGCATAAATGTGACTGAATTTCGTTGCTACAGCGCTCAATTTCCTGCTTCAAGGTCGTGAGCATGTTGACCTCAGACTTAAAAAAACCCAAAGAAAAAGGCTCAATGGCGTTCAAACAGAAAATTATACGATCAGGAAATAACTCATGCAGTAATTCAATTATTTCTCGGGCTGTTTGACATGTGGCACCATTTTGTTGAAACGGCATGTCATCTACATCCATATCTTGCGATTTAGGCAAAAAATATTGGATTATCATGTCGCGATAGCGAGTACCTTTAACTGTTATTGCCTGACCAGCCGCATTTTCGAAGAAGAATGTTTCCATGGTCTCTAACTCAAAATCTGCACTTTGGTGCAGATTTACACGTGGAGCATTTATAGCATATAGCAGCATATACACGTGGAGCATTTATTTCTCAACAATCACTGGTGGATTTTCTGAACCCAAAATGCGACAATTTTGTCGATTAATGCAGCCATTAAGATGAAAATGAGTCTCATCACTAAAGATGATTTTGTTCGAAAAATCACCATCCCCTTGTTCCATAATCCATTCAACGAATTCTCTTCATTCTGCGTGGTCAGTAAGGTTCAGTTCTTGAGTCAGTTGAACTTTGTAAGCAAGAAGAGTATACGCTGTAAAGAGCTCCTTAGAACATCCTATTCTTGACCACGGTGACGAATTAATGTTCCTGGACTCTCAGCAACACTCTCACGAACTGCTTCGATGTTTTGTGTTGAACAACTTGTTGAAGCCCGACCAGATTGTTTTAGATCACTAATTGATCCAGTTTCTCTGAATTTTTCAATTAATCTCTCAGTTGATGAACACGTATAAGAACTACCCTTATTTTTTATGTAGATACTATTTGACCTAAAAATAGCAGGAGACCATCATGTATACAAAAACTTACCTTCATGGTTTCAAAGTTGAATCAGGAAAACATTTTCAAAAGTACAACTCGTTTAAATGAAACAACTTTTAAATAAAAAAATGTATTAAAAGCATTGTTAAAATATAAAATAAATAATTTCAGGTAACAACACAATATCCTTACACCAAACTATATACAGGGTTGACAAGCATGTTTTACAATAAAGCCTGCAACTGATTTAGATAAATGCAACTGTAGATTCATTTACAGTTAGAAAATCCCATTGGATAATAACCTTTTTAATCTAAATTGAAAATAATGAGTACATATACCTTTTCGAGTGATGTAAAACCTTACGTATAAAAATAAATTAACTATGTAATAAAATACTTATAAATAAATATTGGTCAGTTGAGTTAAAATAAATGTCTAACGTATAACGAATAAAAATCTATACACAAATTATATTTCAAATATTCAAACGAGTTATTCGTCATGGTAGTAACATATTAATTTCGTCAACATTTAATAGTAAACAGCCTAATTTTCTCACTCAAGTAATCAACTTTAAGGCAAGAAAAAGGCCACAATTCTGTTAACAATTTCTAAATTTTTTAAATATTTACAAAATTTTAACTATTAATGTTAACAAATACTACGTATCCCCAGAATCGTAGTAGATAGTACCACGATTTTTCAAGTGTTGATCATCTGGGCTAATATCGCCATTTGCATCGTGATATACGCTTCTCTCCGAGATTAGGGAATCTCGTTTTCTGGCTGGAAGATATGTTTTGCTAAGATTATTAAAGTTTTAACTAAATTGACATAATATAATACTAAGAAATGAGCTTTCTTTAGGTGAATCCTTCATAAATTACAGCAACAATACTCATCGTTGTAGAACCGATGGTAGAAATGAACAAAGGTCTACTATTAGTTTTCATAGACTTTATACAAACCTATTTTCATCATGTAGTGAGAGCAACAATCTACGAAAATAAATAATAGAATAAGTTGGAACTGTTTACAAAACAAAAATTGCCAGATCTGGAATGCGTAAAGGACATTTATTAGAAAACGTTGGAAATATGATGGATATGTTAATCAGTCTCATACTAATATCACAAAAAGTTGGTCACACGCTAAACGAGGACAAAAATAAGAACAAGGATTAGAGCAAGCTAAAAACTTCAAAGTATCAAACAAATGAAAATTCAAAATTTTGCTATATGGGAAGTGTAATAAACGTAATAGGAGGAATTGAAGAAATGATCCAACATATACTAAACAAAGCAAGGCAAGCATATGCAATGCCTACGAACATCGAGATTCACAGAAATAAATACAACAATAAAGATATTTAATAATATAGACTCAGTTCTTTTATATGGTCGTGAAATGTGGGCGATATAAAAATACATACATTAAAGTAAGCTATACAGGGTGTTAATGAACTTATGTCTAAAATTAAAGGGGTGAAAAACGAGCAAAAACTGAGTTAACTAATGTCACTAACTTGTAAAGGAAGTTTAAGCTCACAGAGAAAAAAGCTAATTAAAAATGTGTTTAAAACTGTTTTGGAACTGCTGAAATACATGTATTTTATCGCGAAGAGTACTTACACTTACAAAAAATTCTGCAACACTTTTTACGAGTTTGTACGTTTCTTATGAAGCCGGACTGTATTCGAGAGTCAGTTTGTAAAACATTGTTGTAGTGATTGCTGTGCTGTTTTTCGAGAGTACATTTAATACGGATGTTCATGACATCGACCAACTGCGACATCGTATTGCCGAAGTTTATAATACGATTCGAGAGGACGTGGCAATGTTGCAACGCGTGCGAGCGAATTGGATACATCGCGCTGAAGCTTGTGTGGAAGCAAATGGTGAGTCGTCGAACATTTTCTATGAAAATCAACAGTTCTCAAAAGGTGGCTCCTTGCAATGTTGAGGTAAGTCAAATCTTAAAATTGCATTTTAATCAACACAAACAAATTCGTGTATTGACTTCATTTTGACATAACGGACATGTGGCAAAAATATTTGGCATAAGTTCATTAACATTCTGTATATGATATTACCAGAGATGTTCGTCATAAATGGACAAACATAACAGGACAAAAGAAGTAGAGGAAAGAGGAAAGTCCATACTTAACTGGAAAAGACTCTTGTCAACAAGAAATAGAAAAAAGAGGGAAATCATGGACAAATAGTCAACCATAAAAAAATAACATAAGCCCTTCCTGGAAGCCCTGTACTCCGGAAGAATCAATATACTAATGTATAGCCGACCATACAGTTAAATTTTTCAACTTACCATTTTTATTTCTCTCCCTGGCTCTCTCCGATTCGAATTTGATGATGGTCTCCTGCGTCCTGTACGCTTCCCTCTTGATCCTGTCGTTAAGCTTCCGACTGACGTCCGGAATGGTCCATTCGACGGCAGTCATGACGAAGCCGACCAAATTCTGATAAACAACTATAAATGCTAGCCTTGCCGCCAAGATGTGCCAGTAAATCAAAGGCCTCTTGTACTTCAAGGCAGGGTCAGGATAATCGTACGGATTTCGGTACTCGGCATATCTACAAACCGATACGTTGAAAGCCGACACTTCGGGTGCCGTATACGGAGGAAAGTCCGAGACATTAAATTTGGCTAAGGAGTGTTCCAAGAAGCCTTCGTCGGTGTGGTCCTTGGACACCTTCATGGTGTAGACGAGGCGAGGTATGAAATGGGAGGAAAACGCAATTATGAATGCATTGGACACGACGGCTATTCTTCCAACTATGGCCAAGATTCTGTACCACACTCCGATGTTTTTTACCCTTTTGGGAATTGGCCTCCTGTAATATTTGATGAACTTCTTCGCGTCTAAACGCATTTCCAACACGTTATTTATCAAGGCAAATAGAGGCGCTAATGGAAACGCCGTTACAAAGATCGTGACGAAGCCATATTGTAGAACTGAAAAGAAATTGAAAATGGGAGAATTTTTTTAATTTGTTTTTTTTACATACCCATTTCTAAATATTCAGAGAATAGGCTGCGTGACTGAAATTCCGAAAGTTTGTAATCTTCCGTCCATTGGTTGCAACTAATTAGTATTTCTTCCTGACTTTCCACTTTCTCGAGACCAGTGGTAACTTTAAACGTTTGATACATCTTCATCAGAAGAGGGATAACCATTTCCATAATAGTGTTCAAAGCCTGGTTACCGATCATTATAATTGCCAGTTGAATCGTAAGTTCCATTAGACAACCACCAGGATTACACTAAAACGAACGGTTTCATTATACCTCTTTATACGGTACGGCAATATTCAACAGCTGTCCTGTTATTCAAGGTACAAAAAATGTTCAAATAAAAGTCGGATAAAGAGAGAAAGAGTCACAAATAGTTCTATATCTAATTAGTTACTTACCTCTTCCTGGCGATACCCAAAGATTTTGTTATACTTGGCAGGGTAACCCACGAACTTCCCTTTGAAGAAGGCAATATAAAATATGGAAGAGTAATAATTCACAAACTGGAACATATATATCTTCAAAGCTAAACTATCGTCGAATTGGGTCTGTGTCCTTTGCAGCTCCATTTCAGTCAACCACTCCGCCAACCTATCATAAATAAGGTTCAATATGACGATACAAACCAAATTGATCAATCCAGCAGTTATCGGTACGACATAAATCCTGTAACTCGTTTGGTCCTTATAGAAAATATCTGAGGTTAGGCAAGACATCCTGTAAATGACAACCCCTACCACTACTCCTAGCGCAACTATGGTCCAGACGAAAGCTATCGTGAAGCTTAGTATAATAGAAGGCAGTTTGACCCTCCAAAACGGCACAACTGGTTCTTGCAGCTGAGTGATGACATTAAGCTTCTTCTTCTTGGCATTGGCAAGTCGCAGCAAGTATTCTGGTCGAGGAGGTTCGGCTTGTAAATCGAACCCTGTGAGACCCCACCGGTGCGCTATTTCCGCGCTGTACCTCTTCCACAGCTCCAGGTACAACGTGGCCCAAAACGACATGAAAACGGCGAAAAATATTGTTGCGGGGTTATCGATGAAGTGCTGTATCTTGGAGTACAAGCAGCTTTCGCCGATTTTCCAGTAATCACAGTGTATATCACATCTCGGACACATGATGATGTCTTTGGTGCATATGTCTCTAATCAAAGGGTCTGTCTTGACGGTGGCTATACCGTATATTAGGCAGAGGAGGCCGACTATGGCGGCCGGTATCAACATGTGGGTGTAGAAGCCCAGCCAGCTGAAGTACAGGGCAAATTTGACACCGAAGTAGTCTTTTATTTCGTCTATAGGCTGGAATTTTATGCATTTTGATACGGAGGCCCATTCGTCTAGCAACAGTTTCCTCTTGGAGCCAGAGTTTTCCCTCAAGTCGCCCTAAAAAAGTAAATATATACAGCGTGAATTTTCAACGTGTACCTACATAAATGTATTTGAATCCCATTATCTAACATTGAACTGGTAGCACAATTTTATAAAAGGAAATACATAAATATTATAAGTAATAATTTATACAACTGTACTTACATCATGTAGCGGATACGCTGCTTTGTAAACGCCTTCAGCTATCAACCTCTTGATACCCTTATCTTGGTCTTCCGGTCCAAACTTTTCCCTCTCTAAAATATACGAAGTCACAGTTGTTCGAACAGAGGTATTAAAAAAGTTTGGAGCGTCTATATCAAATCTGAAAATAACACGTCAATTTATATACATCATTTCTATTGTGACTACGTGCTACTTACAAGTAGTCTTTGTCTCTGTTAAATTCTGCGGTCAGCTGATATTTCATAGGTGGGAACAGTTTTGGGTCTAATGAAACTTTAAAGCAGGCTAACACCTTATTGGCAGTGGACACTATAATATTGTCTTTGGGGATATCGGCATCGTCCTAAAAGTCAGTTCTTTCAAATAATTCACGAAAAATCATTCATTTGTATACAATTATGTACGAGTAGCTTGTAAAAATAATTTGCAAATATATTGAAGATACAGATTCGGTTCCAATTCAATGTCAATTTTGGAGATCTTTAGTGACTCTTATTATTCCAACAGATCCAATTTTAGAACACTCTAAAATTTTGACGTTTGGTTTTATATTATATATTTTAAATTCCATACAGACATTTAAAAAAGTAGTAGCCCTTCGTCTAATCGTGCTAGACTAACTTGATATATTTTTTTTCACTGCATATTTTTAATTCAAAGAAATCATAGGCTTTGCAGATGATGATAACATTCAAAGACAGAGTGGAGAAAAGTGTTTTTACACAATAAAAATTTGTTTTCTTTTGTTAGGGAAATAAAACAAATGTCATTACTAACGTTAAATCAAAATTTACATTTGTCTGTGTTGTTATACTTTTTTATTATTTTCATTTAAGTTTAATGTTGCAAAAATATGCCGAAAACGTTTTGAAACATGGAATGTACTTTCATTATGTTTACCGGTTCTGTGACGGTAATTCAAATGCGTCAGTTGCAGGTGCTTCACCAGTAAAATAATTCCAAATGCACAGGTATTTGTAGATACATATACAGGGTCATTCACATAACAATCCACCCGCCTTATCTTTCTCGCCTTTCTATCTAACAAAATATGGTAAAGACCAAAGTTTGAGACAATTTTCATGCGATCTCAAGAAAATTCGTCTTTTTCTTGCACCCTTTTTTGTATTTGCTTTGATAGTGTGGTTCATTTTATTTTCTGACCTTCCACAATGGATAAAGTTGTCATGAAACTAGTGGAAATTTCTGCTTTTCTGTTTAAATATTTTGTTAAGAAAAAATTGTTAAATTATCTTGTTCCAGAAAAAGGACATCTTTTAAATAAGTTTTCATATGATGGAATAATTTTGTGATCCGGAAGAAGTCCTAGTTTGACCTCCATAGAGGGTTGTGAAGGGTAAAGCAAACAAAGAACGATCTAATAATTTATATAACCTAACCAAAAAATATTAATCGAAGTTAATAATATCAATGGGGTGGACAATAGGGCATTATCAAGCATTTCTTATAAGATATTTTTTGTTAATAGAGAAATTAAGGACTTGTTTAGTTTTAACTGCGGTAAAAATACCCACGCACTGGATTCATGGCAATCTTGACTATGTAAGTAAATAAAATAAAATATTGTGCAAGTTTATCAAAGCAAATGTAATCATGTAATCAGAAAACAGATAGGAATTCAAAAAATTACATATGTAGCGTGTTATGTTTAAAAAAAACGAAAGTTTGGTTTATATCTCCCAAAATACAACATTCAATCGTTACTTGAGATAGGTATAAAGAAAATTTCCTAAAACTTTCGTTGGAAAGCAATAAAGATAAGGAGGGCAGAATGAATTTGAAAATTTAACAGTAACGAAATCTGTGCAAATCCACCATCAAACAATTTATTTTTACACGGAATGTGTACTCAAAAATCACGTAATCCTAAATTGTAATCACATGAATTGTAAACAATGTACAGATTTATCTTGACATTAATAATCATGATGTAATTGTTACTGGATAGCGATAAAATCGTAGTTGTTGGTACTTAATCCACATTACCAGATCTGAACTAAGATTTCCTAAGAACTTTTTGAATGTGTAAATGTAAATACCAGCAAAACTAATATTTAAGGTATAAATAAACGCTAGACGTCTGCACATCGTCCAAATGAAATTGTAAACGCTAGATATATCTAGCTAATCTTCGTAATTTTTAAATATGAGTAAGCATGAGCCACGAACATGCAATTTTGAATACAGATAATAGCATTCAACCTGATTTCGTTTGTTAGAATAGTTAGAGACATTTTAAATGACTTACGTCTTTAATAGGCAACCTCAGCTTGAGTATTTCGGCATATCGGCATAAGACCTCACGCGGCACGTGGATTTTGACAAAATGTATCCTCTGGTTTTCCTCCCTTTCCAGAATAAGCCCCGTGTTCTCTAGGTTCGTTTCGAAGATTCTCCTGTTTTCTTCATCTTCGTGTTTACCCTTTTCGTCGTAAGCCAACACGAAATCAACGGTCAAGTCACTATTGGCGAAACTTCTCCACCTCTGCAAAAATTATTTGTTCTGTTCTACGTATGTTACTTAAATTATATTTCGTTTATTACCATTCTAAAGCAAATATTATTGTGGCATGTAGCTGGTTCAGTATGAATGTTTATCATTCGAAAGTCATTATCTTTAATGGGTAAGTTTAGATAACATTGATTTTTGTTATTTTAAGTTTTATGAAGTTCCAAGTTGATAAAGAAATCTTATTATGAGTAGATATAAGGAAATTGTTTAAGTATGCGAGGTGTGCTAGCATTTCCACTTACGTCTCCTTAGAAATTAGTCATAGGCGGAGGACAGTGAAGGAATCAAGTATTAAAAAGCGAATATGAAAAATAAATTGTCCAAAATTGAATTGAATTTACCATCCTCCGTCTATAATTTCTACCGAGTTTTTAAGGAAACATTTTTAAGTGGGACACTCTATACAGGGTGAATCTTAAGAGAGTACATGTATTTTAAACAGATATATACTTTTCTGAGACTGTAACTAATAGTTTGTTTGTGAAATTATTAGAAACAAAAAAGTTAAATTTAAAACACACATGACTTTTCAATAGAAAATTTGTTGACTCCAGTTAGGTGCAACATAATTTGTCTGTCTTGAACGGGAGACCACAGAGTTGTTAACTCTGCAAGCATAAGTAATTACCTTCCATGTGGATAGAGATATCTGTAATTTTCCCTGGACTTTTTACATCGTAGTAAAAATATATATACATAAGATTCACTATGTATACAGAGTGTACAGAATAATAGTAAAAGAGATTAATACAAATTAAGACCTACCTCCATTCAGGATGAATGTATAGTATTAGTAATAAGCGTTATTCAGTTGTACAATTATATATTTTTTTTCAATCAAGATGGTTTTCCTACATATTTTATGTCAAACAACAAATTATTAAATACTTAGAAGGAAACACTGCAGCGTAGCTCACTGATACACTCGTTGAACAATCTTATTATCATCAAGGAGACATAAAAAGTTAAATATCTATTTACACAATACATGCACGAAATATTGTTAAATTTACAGTCCTGTCCGTGCTGGGAAAGATTTATAGAAAGGAAAACCTACGAGTTTTTACGCAAGTGTATCTTAACCAACGGAAAATATTGAATATATATAACCTAACGCTTGTCACTGTTGGCAGCATACCAGAATGTTCCGTTAATTAAAATCTAAAATAAATAGTCCTTAAAATGCTGATACATGAAAGGAAGTTGATAAACCGGAATATTTAATACTTACTAATTGTAAGATGAAGATTAGGAATGAACATGTACATTATAGGGTGTTCCAAAATTATCGCAAGATTTGAATTTGGCGCCATTTGTGTGGAAAGCGTTGCCAACGAAAAAAAAGACAGCGTGACAGCAGACAGTTCAGCGTTATTAAAAATGGAGTGCCATTAATTGAAAAATTCAGGGAAACTGAATCAATGAGTGATTTTAAACACTTTGGCCGTCCTTCAACAGAAAACATCGAAGCAATTCGTGAAACTGTCACTGAGGAACATTAATTCGGCACCGTGGTCAAATTTCGAGAAGCTCCTACAGCGTATTCTCAAGAAATATTTGCATTTTCATGTTTACAAAGTTCAATTAACTCAAGAACTGAAGTCTACTAACCACGCAGAGCGAAAAGAGTTCGTTGAATGGATTATGGAACAAGTGGATGCTGATTTTTCAAACAAAATCATCTTTAGCGAGCCCGAGAAACAATTCAATTACTACACGAGTCATTTCTTGTTCGTGTAATTTCCCGTTTTGGTGGTCAGTATTGGCCGCCCATTTTGGGTTTTTTGAAATTTAGGAACCCTATACTGTAGACTTTATAAATCAATAAAAAATTTACAATTTTTAATTGAAAAGCTGTGTTTCCTATCAAAATTACTTCTTGCGTGAATTTTGGGACACCTTTTATACGTTAATTCAATACTTTGTAAAACAGAATTGTCCTTGGTGTTCAATAATGCTGTAGGTATAAGACTATATCGGAAAAGTTAAAATAAAAAAAAATATTGCTCTTGTGTAATTAGAGTTAAAAATTCAAACTATTAAAACAAACGTCAATAAGCACAAATTGTACTTTTTTGCCAAAGTAATACATGCTGTTTTGTTACGTAAATAGTTACAAATGATCGTAAAGGTCAAGTTACCTTTACATAGTAAATGAATGTTCCAAAGTAACAATTTGTTAGTGCGATTAACTAAAAACATTCACATTATTATAATGTGAGAGCATCAGGTGACAATGACATTTCTAAATGTGCAAGGTTCATTCCAAGAACCTTGGAGCAAAGTACAAAAGTGTATCTCACTTCGTATATTTAGTTTTAAATTATCATTTTTCTCTACTTAATGTACCTACATATCATTTAATTATTCATAGTGTTAAGGTTTAAAGTAGAACTAATATTAACTGGACTTTAACCGATCTTTACATCATATCTATAGATATACGTGAACCAATACACTAATCTACAAGACGGCAAAAAAAATACTGAAAACAAGGAAAATCGAGGAAAACTTTGAAATATGTGAATTTGTATTCTTCTTAATTTTAATGTAGATGTGGTTATTTTGTTTCGCTTACTTTTTTGAATAATAATTTCACAGTACCTAGTTCATAAAGTGAAATCAGTCACTGTACTGACGAATTTAAAAAGCAAATTATGGAAAATATACTCTTCAGTACCATTTAACAAAAAAGAATGTTACCTTCAAGCACGGATTAGGAAATATTTTTAGTAGGGTGGTCCAAAAATAAAAACGAATATTTTTTTTCGTGTCTCTTGTGAAAATATGTCAGTTTATCATGTTTTAAGAGCCCCCTCAAAAAATCAGCTTAAAAAAAATTTTTTTAGAGGTCGCTCAAGAGTAAAAAATTTTCAAAATCGTCAAAAATTGAATTTTTTTTTTATTATTTTGTCATTTTCTAGGTTGAAAAAGATCACGATTCTGAAAATTTCAAATGGATATTTTAATTTCTAAAGGTCACTCATAATTATTTTAACTTTAGTAGTAGTATACCTAAAATGTTTTCGAGCGACCTCTAAAAATAAATATCAACGAAATAATAATTTTTTTTTTAATTTGATGAACAAAATAATAGAAATAAATCACGAGACACTTAAAAAATTTCTCGAGGCAACATTTACTACCGCACTGTGAGTATCAAATATTTATAATTTTTTAATTTTTTAAAATTTAAGTGTCTCGTGATTTATTTCTATTCATCAAATTCAATAAAAAAAATATTATTAGTTCGTTGGTATTTAATTTTAGAGATCGCTCGAAAACATAGGTGCACTACTTTGAAAGTTAAAATAATTATGAGTGACCTTTAGAAATTAAAATATCGATTTGAAATTTTCAGAATAGAGATTTTTTTCAACCTAGAAAATGATAAAATAACGAGAAAAAAATTAAAAAAAAAATAATTTTTGACGATTTTGGGGTTTGAAACTTAAATATTTTTAATAATGCCTGAATATCGCGGTATTTAACGTCATGACAAAGAAACCATTTTTTTGGCACTTATTTCCAAAGTACATAGGGTCGAAAATCGATTTAGTAAAATATTGAGAAATTCTGCATGACGATGTGCACTATGGGCAACCTTTTTCGGTTGTTAAGTTTTTTTATAAATATCTGTTTGCAATGTACATTATAAACAAACTTCACAGTAGTAACAGATTTCTATTTTAGCTTGTTAGATAAGTTCTCAGTGGTGTACACAGACCCCAAAAATTGGGGGCGGATTATATTACACGAATTGAAATGTTTTTAAATTTCGCAATCTAAAGACCCTGACCCCCCTGTTCCTACACCACTGTTGCCTGTTGAACCAAGAAAGAAAACGTAATGACGTCTTTATCGATGACACTATGTAGATTAATGGGAATATGATGCCGATCAAAGTTAAACAACACATTCTATTACGAAATTAAATTTGAAAATTTAATTACTCGAACACATCTTGCACTGGGTACAAAATTGTTTATTTTGCTTGTTATACGTTGGTTTGCGTCTATAAATAGTACTTTGTCATTCAATATATTCAGAAGTCATGAACAAAATTACTAATGTAAATATTTCTGATTAGAAAAGTTTTCTGTTGACAAGCGCCATTTTAAATAGCAGTAATACTACTGCATTATAAAAACAGATATCTGAAAGGTTTTTATGCGTAATTTTCGGTGAATTTATAGCAGTCTTTTGTAGAGGATTTTAGAAAATCCAAAAAACAAAGCATATTTTTACCTCTTACGTTTATCATTACGTTTCCTAAACTTTGAATATACAGAAAATCAATCGCGTACGGTAAATCGCAAAAAAGTATCCTAGTGATGTCTGAGTTTAAAATGTTCAGCTCCTTTCGTTTTCACTTAAAAAAAAATAATAAAAAACAAATATCAACGTTTTCACTTCTTCGTTGATAACAAAATGAAATTTGACAGACCTTGTTTTTTTTTAAGTACGACTCAAAAATCGATTATCCATTCTGTCGAAACTTACAATTAGTAACAACAAAATAGATGATGATATAATAATTTAAATATCGACCTCTGATGACCAACTGGCCTTATATGATAACCTTGAAGTACTAGACACAAATAGAGAGAAAAAATAATACCCAAAAGTAGTATGAACGTTTGAATTTCAATGTTTATAAGCAATTTATGAAGTTAACTTATATAAGAATATTCAAAGGTAAGTATTTGGACAATTGAGAACATTGTTGATGTCAGTTTTTCTCTACAACAAATAAAAAAAAATACAAAAAAAAACTCCTACATCGGACAGGTTGTTCCTTGTTTTAAGACGATAACTTCAACAGGTGACAGAACAAATTATTTTAAGCAAGTTTCATGACGTAAATAGTAGTTCACGTTTTTCTAAAATATTTCACAGGATGTTTAACACAGACTGGTGAATCTTAGGTCACTAGTAGAAGTAAATACCCGCTAAGTTGACCTCCAAATTATGCCAACCAGTGCCGGAGATACAAGGAGTCAGTACCACTAGAATTTCGACGACAATGAACATTCACAAATTCAATTAATGCTTTTTATTACTAATGGAATTTCTAATAAAAACGATTTTTTACATTTCAATCGAATTACGAGCCGTTTTAGAATTATGATTTTCTGATTCTGTTATATTGTAATGTAGCTAATGCAGCTCTAGAAAATTACTACGCCAATGATTTTAAAACTTTTATACGTTAAGTAAGTTATCTTTCTTATAAACTCTGAGGCACTCAGTGGTACAGTTTTGACATGTTTGTAAGTCAACATTGCGGATTTTTACTCTCATTTAAAGTTCCACAGAAAGATTTTGATCTAGGCAGGCGCGCATTTATTTTCCTGTCATGGGGCGGTAATCCAAAAGTTTGGGAACCTCTGCATCATAGTAACTACTAATTACTGCTACCCATATGAATAAGCTGAAAATTTGCACCAAAAATAGACTAACAATTATATATCCAACTGGCCATGCACATCATGCTGCTCTCTAGATGCAATTCCACATAAGTATTTTTATATTTTCAGTAAATTTCTTAGCTTTGAAAAAAAAATTTAATACGAACAAAAAAGGAAACAGTATAATTTACCGACATATTTTTTCTGACCAGATAATTATCATTTTATTGTTTTCATTCCTCATTAAGCAGCCATGCGCACACCAAATAAAAATTAAAATGCTAAAACCCAATGAAAACTTCAAGTATTATTCCCACAAATCACAAACTATCACTTGTGTTCTCATTTTTTATTTGTTTAAGTTCTTTTATTAATTGGGTTTTTGCCACTTCTGAAAAATTTGAGGGATACGTTAAACTAAAACAGTCAAATAGATGTTGGTTTAAGACATATTTTTGTATTTCCAGAACAAAAAGAGTACCTAAACATTGAAAAATATTATCTTAAACATATTTTTCAAACACGGCAAATTCCGGACTATTAAATAGAGGTGATGTTGCAACAAACTTTCTTCTCAACAAAAGATAAAAACACGAGTAACATTTTTGTCTGAAACCATTCCAAGGATTCTATACTGAATCCTTCAGAGATTAAAAGTGAAACATAGTTTTTGACATACTTTGACACTGAAAAGCATCTTCATTTACAGATTTGCATATATATTTTTCAATAGAAACTTCTCTGTCTCTCCCGATTGAAAGTCCAAAAGCCTTGACAAGCAGTGGAGCATAGGTGAAAATCAGTGTAATGTTTTACACAAATTAAGCTTATTTGAATGAGAAATAATCAGATCAGCTAAAATAATGGGATTTTATTTATGGTCCGCTAGTGACAAACTCAGAAAAAACCTCAGACCCAGTTTATCTGAAGTCATTAGTTGGTTTTTGTTCAAAATTTACATGAAGGTAGTTACCTTCAAGAATCTGCACTCTAACAAGTTTGAACCCTACGTTAATTAAGTACGTCGATAAACTGTAATGGACGATTCTTAAAGCGATTTTAAAGCAGAAAGGTTATAAAAACATGTGTCCACAAATCTATAGTTTTTGAGATACATGGCATTCAAATCTAAAAAAATCATATGTCTGCAGAATGACGAAAATCTGCCTAATAACCGACAAGATTTTTAACCCAACAACATGAATATAGTTTCCCAATGGATTTTGATGAGCTGGATTCGAAACCGAGGTCCAAATTTCTCAATTAATTCTGATTTTGGAGATATCCTAACCGCGTTTTTTTGACATATTTGAGGTTATGTTACATGGAAAGGTAAATTTTTTGCTAAAACCATTAGTGGCGCCTTAATGTACTGTATTTAAAAACGTTTGACTTATTTTTCGATTCAGATTCATGTTCAGCGACGCCAAATACATGTGAGATCCCTACTTCCGAGTGCCGATGAATTTAGGTTTGTGGTGCTGTGTTCTCAGTGTATTAAAAAATCGAGAAGTCAAACTACTAAATGTCAACTTGCGTTTTCTCAAAGACGAAATTGATATTGGGATAAGTATAGTACTTTAAGACCCCATTAATGGTATTAACAAAAAAATTACCTATCTATGTAACATAACCTCAAATGTCAAAAATCGCGATTTTGGTACTTTTAGGTTAGGATGTCCCGAAAACCAGAGCCAATTGAGAAATTTGGACCTCGGATTCAATTCAGCGTACCAAAATCCTTTGGTAAAGTACCTATATTCTGGTTTCTGAGTTAAACAGTCGGTGACATTTTGTCGGCCTGTGTAATTTATCTAATTAATACTAAAAATCCACTGAATTCGGATATAAATACGTTTTCAGTGGGGGAGATGCAGTGAGTTATTTTTACTGTAAACTCCGGAAATTTGACGCAACTGAAAATTTTGAGACACCAGAAGTTACATGTAATGAACGGATTTTCAAAATATCCAGTGGTTTCGAATTTCTGGGGGTTCCAGTCAGACCGACTCCGGTATCACTGGATTTTTACCTTTAATTAGATAGTTATTGTCATAATTCTGCATCAAACGTCTTCAGAGATGATTTTAAAAAGGTGAGTTTACTTTTAACAACCAGTGCACCTCAGTTTATAACTAAATCTTACTCGTTTTTTTTTTTTCGTTTGTCTCGACAAGAGATGTCAATCCTGAAAGTTCGTCGCAACGTCAAAGTAGTATTGCAGTAGTTTTGTAAATTAAGATAAAATATAGAGTAAGAAACCTAGATCGAAAAGTAGAAACCCCACCACCGAAACCGGTGTTGAAACGTTAAGACCATTAGAAATAATAAAGTTAGCAGAGCCCATGCAGATGTGCCAAAACCAAAAAAAGACAATATACCCTATTTCTCCACTGCGCATAGGTCTTAACATCTCTATTTTTATTTCTAGACACCTTATTATGGGAATTGCTCTCCCCGTTGCGGTCCAACGCGGTCAATTCCATGCCTTCTAGATCTACGGCCGAGTGGTAGATGGTGTTCCTCGACAGGCTGAGATAAGCCTTGTTGTTAAATTTCTTTTTACTGGGAGCTGAGGTGACCGAGATCGTATCGAAGAAGTCATCGTCGTCGTCCATGGTATGCTAACGTCTGAAAATAAGTATTAAAAACGATTACGTCATTCGCGCTTATAAAAATGTAAATATAGGGACAGTTTCAAGGTGAATGTTGTAAAATTGGTTTACGAGGGCAGATCAAAATGATGTAAAGAAACAGTGCAGTTTCATTATACTAGAATCTAGATAATCGAACGTAGAATACTATAAAAAATAGAACTACCAATACCAGGAATCAAAAAAGTTATTAGTGCCTATATAAAATGTACGTTGAGTAAATTGAATATTACAAAACATAAAGATAAACAAGCCGTGTTTTGTATAATAAATTTCTAAAATGATCTTCGATCACATGTCACGTGAGCTGTAATTCTGTTTGGAACAGTAATTTTATTTCCTTCAAGTTGGCAATTATTAGAGCAATAAGATCAAGATTATAATAAAACACAACATTTTGTTTCATCGACCGACTGGTGTAATTTTTCACGAGATTCTATTCAACTGATCAGCGATGACATTATCTCGCCAATATTTAGTGATTTTTCGTTACCAGTACCAGCCCTGCTATGTTGGTTGCCTAAGTTCGGCGGTCACGTGACTTGTAAACGTTTATGAAGGGGCTTTGTATTACATTTTATAAGCGGGTATTGGAGTACTAAAAATAACTATACCAAATCTAGTACGATTGTACTAGATTGTACTAACCATTAGTTAAGTGGAAAAAATACAAATTTAAGTATGCGAAATTGCTTATACGATTTGCATTAACTTTCCTTATAGAATTACACATTTTTTTATGCACTCCTGTATGTATATTTATGCATGTTATGTAACCTCGTTATTTTCTATAAAAACTAATATTTATTGTAAATATTCTAGTTATTGACGAATAGGCTAGTTACAACGAAAAATTGAAAACGGACTATTACAACCTAAACTATTACTGTAGCGTCTAAAATAATAATTCTAAGAAACACTATTATTTAAATAATCTAAACATTTAAATCAGCATGTTTTTTATAGTGCAAGGTTATTCATTGCTATATAAAGTTTTGTATATTATATACATAATTGCTAATTAAAATAATAACAATAAAAAGTAATTGATTTATTTATAGTGTTATTACAGCTATCCAAATTAGTATGTATAAGGAATATTATTTGTTCGTCATACACGTTTTGGCAAAAATAGTACCTATTAAGAACTAATATCAGTTCAGAGGAACTCTAAATTGCTATTAGCTGCTGATAGCTACTATTTTTGCCAAATCGAAAGGCCCTCATATGTCTCGAAAAATTAAGTCATTACCTCGTGTTGAAACTCCTCAAATAAAACAAAATAGAAAATATGTATTTTACGGCGTATTATAACTTCAAGAAAAGTTCGAATGAAAAGCTATAGTAACTGCAAAAAGTAAAACATATATAAGCATTTATATTTATAGTCACAGTTAAAACAGTCCTACTCTTTAAAATGAGAAGAAAAGAGTACCTACTGATCAACCATTTAAATGAGTTTGCAGATACCAACATTCTATTCCTCTCATCTGCGTATCTACTGTTCTCCTATGCTTGCGAGTTGCTTCATATAGGTACCTTTGATAATTCTTGGAGGACACTGCCATACATTCTAAACCAATTTAGTAACCTTCATTATGAGTGTTGATAAGTTTTATAATAGTCTCCTTTTAGGTAGATAGGTATTAAATTTTTAACCATAAAGAATTTTTTACCTTTTCTTCATTTAACTTAATGAATGAAAAAAGTTATTTCTGCTCAAACATCAAATAATTTAAAACAATTAGAGTTATGTCTGACGTTGATAGTATTAATATTTAGCATTGTCGAAGTGCGATTTATGTGTTTTTATTTGCCCGCAGCTGATAAAATCATCATCATTCAAACGTATAGATATGCACCATCCACACGATACGGCATTTTTACGTTTTTTACTCCAGCAAATCTACACATGTTCGCATTCTAAACTGTTCAGTCGTCTTTTCAAATTCCAATTTTTAACCAAGGTGCAAATTATTCAAAACGATAAAAATTTATGAAGATCTTTTGTGTCTGAAAAACATCAACAATTCGCAAACTTTTTCTGCAGAATTACCTAGTCGATATTTCAAGAAGCCGTGAGGTGTAGTGTAATTCATAAGATCTTAAAACAAACAATATGGCAAGCCATTTGTTTTCATTTGCAATATTTGCTTAACTTTTATCATTAATACACAAATATTTGCCCATTTTAATTCTAAACTAGTCATACCGTAATATTTGGATTTACACTTTAGTATAGAATGTTTGAAGAAATTTTTGTCAGTACATACATATAGTTAAAAGCATAAAATTTATAATTTCCTGAAGTTGTCTAGAAGACAAAAAAAAATATATTTTTTAAATAACTTAATTTTACGTCATTTCAAAAGTAATTTATAGTTATAGTCCGTGCGATATTTGTTGAGATAGAATTCCGAGATGAGCCCTGCGTCCCGTTCTTGGACCCACTTCAACACCCAAGGTAGAAAGACATTGGCGGAAAATTTCAAGACACGCCCCTGCCGCAGTAAATTGTTACAGTAGTTCTATCTCATTAAATATTGTACGGACTATATATCTGCATAATTATGTTCATATCAGAAAGCTGTGGTAGCTTCATGTACACGGATGGGAAGAGATTGGGACACTCTATACCTCTCTCATACAAAATGTATGTATAAAAAAGTAACATACATAGTTTTAACTACATATTTATGTTCATGGAAAGGTCTGATACAAATTAAGTATTGTTTACCTGGAAATAATTACTTAATAAAATTGATTAACTTTAATTGCAGTTTTAAGTCCATTGTATTTGTAAATTAACATATGTAATTTGATACGCATGTAATCATGTTTATGCCACTTTGTTTAAATATAGTGTATCTACACAAGCAGTACAACTAATATATAGGTACGGATAAATATTCTGTTCATCATGAATACATTAATTAATTACAAAAAAAAGGAAGTTAAAATTTAAAAAGAAAAATATCCTGCAACGACTAATCAAAAAAATAAATGCGGTATAGTTAGCCAACATTTGAAAACGAAAAAGGTACTCACTTAAATAAAGCACTAAAAACAATACTAACGAAGCCGTACGCGGTGGTCGACCCCTCCTCTGATCAGCACAGCAATTTAAATCTGGTTTAAGTTCAATTCCGGTTTTTAGTTCCGCGCCTTACACCGGACGTAGTATTTTCCCACAAGCAATTTTGCCAGAGGCAGAAAAAATACACAACAAATTTTTAGATACACTTCATGAGCCGTCAATATTTAAGAACATTATTTAAAAAAGGAAGAGTACGTTGCGTGATTCCATCTAATTTCACCAAATGGAATGCAAAAGTAATTAACTAATTAATTTTATATTCAATAGAAATCGTTATAAGGATCTTATTTCACTTATCAGTCGAAATGGAACAGTAAAACTGTTCAAGTTAAAAATAATTCCTTACCGAATCTAAATGGAGAAATAAACTCACTACCGATTTTGTAACACAATTGTCATTAAAATTTATAAACAAGTAGGTACGTACTTATCAAACTTTATCAGTTTGGAGATATCCTACATGGCGCAAAATACTAACAGTACTGTTTTACACGTGTAACTATCAACACGAACAAGCATCTAATAAGAACCGCTAAAAAAGGCTACATACAACATATTGCGATATGCCATGCCATTATAGCATTTATAGCAGTAATCTTTATAAATACAAATTAAACAACCTGCACCTACGTAGATACTCATTAATTTTAAAGTATAGAAAGTATTTTTGTCGAAAAATATACCAAAAAAAATGACGGGCACATTTTGGTAATAGTATAAAGTTTATTTTATCTTAATATACCTATTGTTAGTTAAGTATTTTTGAATTAAACCAATACGGGTCAAGGTATAGCTGAACGAACCAAAGCAATTATACAAATTCGAAACCAACCATTGTAAGGTCCTGTGTCTCAAGTGCTGTGATGTGTTGCGGAGCGGAGTGCCGATCATGCATGAGTGAAATAGAGGTGCAAATGGTCACTACATGTTATCATCACTGTTTCCGCATCTTATCACAAAGCAAATGCACCTTCTGCTTGGCTTACCTAACCACACTTTACAAGCAAGCAAAACACCGCAAGAACTGAGCGCAAACGCATGATTTCTGTGTTTCCAATTTCCATCTCTTGACTGGCGTGACGTAATCCTCCATAGACGTACACTACAGGAGGACAGGGGGAAACGTAGTTAAACTAGGGCAAGGAAAAAACAATTGAAATTATGACCAATTCGTTAAATAGTTCACATTGGACAATTTAGAAATATTCTATAAAATTTATTCTAGTTTGCGACCAAAATAAGATCCAAAATGCAGACGTTTTGTCTATTACAAATTGGGTTAGCATTGCAAAATACAGAAATCTATTACGACTAAGTTTAAGTTTTTATAAGAATATTGACACCCATGGGGAAGAAATAATATTTGAGAAGAATTTAATTAAGGCATTAAGCAAATTTATATTCCACAACATTCTAAAATTGACTAAATATTCTCAGGAATTAAAATATACGATTATTCAGATATTAACGTCTGTTATATCAGGTGTCTCATTTCAATGAAAACAGCTTAATATCTCGGAAATTATTCGCCATATAAAGAAAAACGTTTTAAATATAAGTTAGCATTCATCAGAGTAAGAAAATATGGTATACTTTTTTTCTGAAAACTCATGGCACTTTAGGGGCAACTTTGGGGTTTTTTGTATATATATATCTGTATGTTCTATTCTGGAATATGATCACATTCACTATTTTAGACATGGTAAAATATTTATAATTTGTTCGTTTCCATATCGCGTATGTTAAAACTAACACTGAGAGAAGAATAAATATTATCGCTTTTCCCCAACAAGAAAAACGTAGACCAACCGTTGAAGGTTCCTTAATTTTGTTATCCTTTCAAAAAAATGTATCGCATACGTCTATGAGTTACGCTATATCCGGAAATTCTTTCATCGATGAGTCTGTATCTGTCGTTGCACAATGTTTATATTTTTATTTTTTGAGTAATCGCAAATTCGTTTGCTTCGCATATGTAAAATTCAATTTCTTGACTAAATGGAAAAAAATTGTTGCACGTGCCCTCGTTTTAACTTGGATTTAATCAAAATAACTTAATACTTAATGCAGTAACGAAAAATAGTGTACTTACTTTAAAAAATGATTTATGGCGGCTTATTATACCTTTGGCCTACAAAAATTTTCATCTCTTATTATCTTGGTCTTGGTAGCGTTTCACGTCACATCTTTTAACTATGCTTAACTGTTTTGCCTTGAATCTTGAACATATTGAAGTAATAGTGAATGTACAAGTTTTTTATAACAGTATATTTTTAGTTCACATTATTGTGTTGTAATTTAATTTGTATACGCCAGAATAATACATACAAAAAATTGTTGGAAATATTTTTTCCGCAACCTACAATTTTGAGATTGCACAACTATGTAGATAGATGCGTCCCTGTGGCAAATAGCAAACTTCGAATCGTGAGGAGGTTTTATTTTGGCGAATTCGGAAGATTTAGCAGAGAAAATCAGGGTTGATTACGCCACTGGCCAAAATTTTAGGGAAAAAAATTAATACCAAGACAATAATTCAATAATTAAGAGACCGCGATACTATTTTATTAAACAGTAAAATTTCGACCGCATTTGCTACTTTCGACAAATTTATCTATAAGTTCAGTCACATAGTTTATTATGAGCTCAAAATTAAAAAATCGTTTTTTCAAAAATTTAACAATTTACTTGATTTACGAGACCGTAATGAAATTTAACACAAACCTAACTAATTACTTACTAATTACAGCAAACTAATTACTATTATAGAAATATTTGCTTTTGTGTATAGTTCATATGTGCAAAGAAAAGTTCCTTTTTTAAGAAAATAATTTGTAACATTTTCAATAAAATAACTAATTTTCGTAAAAGAACATATCGACCAGCTTAAAATACAAGACCATAATGACTAAATAGTACCTATAGAGGCCATTATCATATAGTAAGTAAAAAACAAATAAGGATCAAATATTTTTTTAAATAGACGCTAAGAATGCACATATTGAGAACTTAAGCAGTATAAGTTCCTCAAAAGTGGCAAATCTTTAACATATTACAATTTCCTAAGGGGCGAATTTTAAAAAAATATATAAGCAATTTTTTTATCCGAAATCTAAAATAACACATTTTCCACACCACGAAAGTACAAAAAAAATCTAGATTACGCTTTGTAGCATATGCAATATGGGGACATTCTTCAAATAAAAATTCATTTTTCATCCTTTTAAATATGAAAAAGATGGCGATTTTGAAGGTACTCATATTATTTAACTTATAATGGCCTAAACTTGATTTGTAATTACAATCAGGACACAATATTTCAATCAACGAAATACATTTAATGTTTCAACTGTGGTAACCTGCTTTAAGATTTGAATTTTCGCTCAAATTTATGCAGTTCTTAAGAGATGAAGAAGAAGAAGAAGAGACATCGGTCAAAAGTTAGAAGCACAAAATATATAATTAGAGGTGTACTTTTTGTTAGAGGTATTCTTGTTTTGTCGTTTTAATTTCAGTGATCAAAGGGGCGAATGTGAGGTTAAGAAAGATATGTCTTAGCAGAAATGTACTTTCAAGTTTTGTAAAAATAANAATATTTTTTTAAATAGACGCTAAGAATGCACATATTGAGAACCTAAGCAGTATAAGTTCCTCAAAAGTGGCAAATCTTTAACATATTACAATTTCCTAAGGGGCGAATTTTAAAAAAATATATAAGCAATTTTTTTATCCGAAATCTAAAATAACACATTTTCCACACCACGAAAGTACAAAAAAAATCTAGATTACGCTTTGTAGCATATGCAATATGGGGACATTCTTCAAATAAAAATTCATTTTTCATCCTTTTAAATATGAAAAAGATGGCGATTTTGAAGGTACTCATATTATTTAACTTATAATGGCCTAAACTTGATTTGTAATTACAATCAGGACACAATATTTCAATCAACGAAATACATTTAATGTTTCAACTGTGGTAACCTGCTTTAAGATTTGAATTTTCGCTCAAATTTATGCAGTTCTTAAGAGATGAAGAAGAAGAAGAAGAGACATCGGTCAAAAGTTAGAAGCACAAAATATATAATTAGAGGTGTACTTTTTGTTAGAGGTATTCTTGTTTTGTCGTTTTAATTTCAGTGATCAAAGGGGCGAATGTGAGGTTAAGAAAGATATGTCTTAGCAGAAATGTACTTTCAAGTTTTGTAAAAATAAATTAAAATATTGTGAGAAGCTCCTGTTATATCTGCTACAAAGTTTGTTTATTTGCTTATGTTGATGACCTGTAGACCTGTAAATCAGAGCAACCTGTAAATATAATTTTATAATTATAATTTCAAGATACCGACACACCAACTACATGGGATATTCTGTGATACCAAAATTATGTTGACAATGTTTTAGACATCAAAAATTTGTATTTCAATTAAGAAACCTGTAAAAATTACATTTTATTAAAACAAATTACAATTAAAATTTAAAATAACATTTATTACAATATTTAGATATACAAAAATACAGAAATAGATTCATAAAAAGACATGAACTTTTTGAACAATAACATAATGAACGTAAATTTATTGTTTATACTTTAACTAATGTTTCAATAAATATAAATTGGTACATTATGTTCAAAACATCTTTGAGTTAGTAGTTTTGTCACTGACCGTTTAACTTTTCCAATAACATTAACATTTCCAAAATTTAAAGTACAAACATATTTTAGTGGAATTCAGCAAATGCTCGAAGTATAATATAAAAAAAAACATGTATTTTGCGACTGATTATTATTTAGTGTTTATGAATACTGGAATGGTTGGTCATTTAACTTTTACTTTTATTGTCAATTTTACTTAACATCTATTAGATGAAAATAAAATTGTTTAAAAAAATTCTATATCTATGTTAGCCACACTATATCTTCAATATTAAACGTCCACTTATTGAACTTTTTAAATTAATCTGAAAAAAAAAATTTAATCAAAACTATACTACAAATAATCAGTTGCAAAATAACACCAGCAGATAGGTCATGTTTTTGGAATTATTATTACTTATAGTCTGTTATTACAGACCTTAAACTTTAAAGCTTAGTGTATATTTTCCACAATGAAATGAAGGAGACATATCCATACAAAAGGTGGCACATTCTTACAACCACAGCTACAGATGCCGATTATTATTAGAGATTAGACCTTCAAACTGAAAACCATACTCAAAAACTGTTCGTAGTGAATGGTGATATAACCATCTTGATCCGTGTCGTATTGCCTGAATGAAGCAGTGAGAGTCTGAAAAATATTATTAATTATTTATTGTTCATAGATATTCAGTGCTTAAATAAAGTACACAGAAGGGAGGACCCGTATTATCGCTCCATCTTGGTGGCATTACGCCAGTGCCTAGAAATATACAGTATTGATACTTGGTCTTATGCCGAGAGCATCTGATCTGTTTGAGAAACGATTTTGTTAGTGTGGAGCTCCCATTAATGTAAAATACATAAAATAAATCTATTGTTACAGCTACCATACTGGGTAATTTTATTTGACTTGGATTTTATATTCAGTGGCATCCATTTGGACGTAATGTGATCGATAATGAACAATTTTGATTATTTTGACTGAAAATATATATCCAAGTATAAAGTCCACTATACTCACATGTATCGCATAAAAAGAAGAAACAGAGTAATGAGATAATAATATATGGTATGCTAAATGTACTTGTTTGAAGGCAACTAGTACAGAAACCATCGTAATGATACACATACATACATACAGCGATATAAGGATGACTATAAGACATTTCATAAGCTGAATAGTCACTCCCACTTCTAACCGAGTGCATCCTATCGACTATTCAGATTATGAAACGTCTTGAATATAGCCATCCTTTTCTATCGTACGGATTTCTGTGACTTACTTTATCGCTTTCACGGAAAGGCAGATGGACTATGTGGATTTTCCAGCTGTGTATATACCAACAAAACTTGCAACAAAATGAAACACTAATTTAAATTTGTTATAATGATCTATGAAATCGCAAGCAGATTATACACTTTATTAAAAAAAACATTTTCTTTTATAAGAAATGTTAATTATTAAAGAAAGCTCTGTTAAATTTTTTATATATCTTCTAGTTACACAATACTTCAACACTGAAATTTGCGGAACCTTTTTTGTAATAAAAAAAAATTGGTAGCCACTGGTAAAATACAAAAATGATCCAAATCTGCTCAATTTGCAATAAAAATTGTGCTCTTGAGCTTTTCTTGTAAAACGAACCGTTTTCAAATAAAATATTTATTAAAAACATTTCATGGTTAATGACTGCATTTAATAGAAGGATGGCCAATTATCAAATAACACTTAAAAACTATGCAACTTGGCCTCGGTACTCGTTTACGAAAGTAGGATGGGAAGGAAACCTCCTTACCACCCTTGTATAGGCTAGTGAGATATAAAGACTGACACAACGTGAATTATTTTATCATTTTATAACAGATACGAGTGCATTCGTTTTTCAATTTAGACAGTATTGGCTGTTAAAATCAAGTTATACAAAATATTGATCACATAATTAAACAAACTACCACTAAAATAAAATCAATACTATGAATAAGTGATGTTTGCTGGTTACTATGGAATCGGCAACCTGTAAAATTATTTTTATACTTACATATAATACTATACAGCACTGAATAAAATCATCAAACAAAATTGTACCCTTTCCATGTCTATCAAACTTTCTCAGTAGGGTGTTGATAAGACTGTCTGAAAGTCTGTATCCAAATGAAACAAGGGCTGTTTTGAGTTCTTCTCTGTCTATATTCCCTGAGTTGTCTCTGTCGAATGATCTGAAGCAATTCTGCCAATCTGTGACATATTTCCACAGTGCCCCGAAATCCTCAAAATTAACTTGGCCCTTATTTTGTCTATCAAACATGCCTAAAAATAAAATGATTATATGTATTTGTTAATTTGTACAGAGTGTTGACAACTATAATATATAAGGATTAATAACTCATAAATCTACGCATATATGTAATCCCAACTAATTCATCTTACAAAATAAGATTAAACATTTTTTAATGATTAAATGACAACTTATACAATGCACTGCCTAAATTTACCACAAATATTGTTGAAATTTGTTTTTTTTTTGTTTAGTTTGAATTTAGCGTTGCAATTTTTCATAATTCAAATTTGACATTGATATTTATCGGCCCATTTAAAAAATATTCAAGAAATACATATTTAGATTCATAGGTACTCTATATCAATGAACTCCAAATTATAGAATTTATCAAAGAAATAGCTGAAGTACCTACTTAAAATCTTATCAAATCAAACATCTAACCTAGTTTTGTTTATTTCTATGATTCACTTCCTGAATAGGTTAATTTAGGCAATTCCGTTATCATGGTATCTACGTGTTAAATACTGGAATGTAAAATACTTCCACATTCAAAAGACAGGGCATGATATTATTTGAAGAGATTATTTTGCTTTAATATTTAGTATCTATTTACAAAACATGTTTATAATACGTAAAATGTTGTTGGCTCTAATAGACAAGGGACATTCTTAGTTACACTTTAGATAAAGCACATTTTATGTTTCTACTGCACTGCAATTTATTAACTTACCAATCATCAGTCTGACAGTCTCTGGATTGAAAGGAGTCCATGTACCATTCGATAAAGCTGCTCCAAGTTCATCTACATTTATATATCCACTTCTGTCTCTATCAACCCTGTAACAGCATTGTAAAAATTAAAATCTAAATTGAAAATCTTGTCAGTATTTACCTTTGAAATACATCCCATAAAAATTCTCGGCTGGGCATCGGAGAGGCAAATTGACTCATTATAAAATACTTATTTACTAACTAAAATTGGGCGCTGGCTACCCTTTTATTGTAGTTTTGGTAATAAAATTTCACAACTTGTAAAATCCGCACCCGTTTTCTGGAAATCAGGCGGTTACGTTTAGGGTGGGATGAGAATATGATAATGACGTTTGATGACGTACGTGGTGTCAGAAAACTTACACACGTTCTTTCGTATTGAACCGAACCAACTAATGGTTATTGGTTATCAGTTATCACTTATCAGTGCTGTTACTATCAGTGTTATCAATAATGAATCAATCACCTAATTATAGCATGGTTTTTTAAATTCTTAATTTCAATTATTAGTTCTATAATAATAGCATTAATTTTATTCAAAACGAACACTACATTTAAGATTATGCGTCTGCGTCTCTATCGTGCAACCTGTTCCTGGTTCCAGGAATGGAAGAATGATAAACAAAAATAGACTAGCTTGAGTACTCAGAAAAACAAATTATTTTTGTACTTGTTTACTGGGTTTGTTATTCTTGATTCTGTTCTATATGATCAATAATTAAACTTGTTATTGACAAAATGACAATAAATCAAATATTTTTCTTATAGCATCTGCTAGAACATACTAATACAGAATATGTAGATAAAGTAAAAGGTGATGAAGTAAATTCAGATTTTGCAAATAGTTATAAAACTATTATTTGAACAGTGGGTGCTATTCTACATCGATGAATAGTTTTAATAATAATAATCTACGTTGACTGAAAGAATATTTCAAACAACGTAATAATCGTAATATATTTACATTATTTTCTTTCTGTCACTCTCAAATTAATTCACATTCATCATAGAAGATAAGAATAACTCAATCTGTTATGCGCTTTGTCTATAGTCTGTGGTTAGTGATTTTGCAATTTGACATTGACACAGAACAATGAACACTATTGAATAGTGTTCTGTGACTATTGACAGTTAATATTGACATCGTTGGCTCATACAAATTTATTTTCAGTTGATAATTAACATTCCTCCTTCATTAGTAGCTTGTAATAATATAATACAATGGCTCCTGTAGATGTGGAAACTCCACCTGTAAGTATGCTATAATAAATACCTTTATGCTATTTTTCAGTTTGTTGCTATACAGTTAAATTATTTGTAACCGTTTCCTTTTCCAAAATAAACTAAATATCAGGGCGTTGCCTATAGTATTTTGAAATTCTATAAACTTATCAAATCAAATGTATTATTAAATTACTTACAATGCTTTTTTCTATTTTCAGATTGAAATTCAAATGAGGAATTTAAATTTATCGGGTCATGTTGGTTTCGACAGTCTACCTGATCAGCTAGTTTCAAAAAGTGTGCAGAATGGATTTATTTTCAATATCATGTGTATTGGTAAGAAATTTTCTATATATAAAATATATTTAAATGTGATTGTAATTCTTACATAAACTAACAATATGTATATATTCGTCTATTATCAATTTGTAGCACCAAATTCACTTTTCCTATACCTTGCAAATTGATACATATAATGCAAAAATAATCAGATGTTAAATCTAAAAATTGTGAATTTTAAAAATTTTACATCATGGTACACCTCAAAAATGGTTGCATATATGGCAATGGTAACTTGTAACCTACAATGTAGACCCATATAAGCATAACTAGATTTTGGGGTCTTTGTTTACCCATGTCGAATACATAATGTTTTAACTACTTATCAGTAAGAATGTTATAAGTTTAATTGATTATTATACAGGAAATACTGTGATTATCTCCATGATTATATTTGTTTTTGATACGGGCATGGAAGTAATTGAAATAGCTTATATTTTTTAAATCTTCTTCCTGTTTTTACTTGTGATAGTCATCCAAAATGGTTTGCATGTCATTCACAATTTTAAAGAGCAGTAACATACTTACTTAGTCAATATTTAACTGTAAACTAAAACCAGCTGTTGTTTATATATTGTAATTAGTATCTGTCATCATTTTGGTGTTTTTGAGTAAATGAAGTAGTAGACTCCTTTCCTTTAATTCGTTTGTCTAATGTACAATTTGAAAGTAGATTCCAAATGTAATGTGTACAAAAAGGTTTCGTGGTATGCAGTATTTTTTATGTACAATAGTCATTTATTATATCATTATGCATTAGAATCGTAGGTAATGCAATTAGTATAATTCATTTTTTAGGGGAAACTGGATTAGGCAAATCTACTCTAATGGATTCCCTTTTCAATACTAATTTTGAATCTAGCCCAAGTCCCCATACATTACCAACAGTTAAATTAAAGGCTCACACTTATGAGTTACAAGAAAGCAATGTCCGTCTTAAAGTAAGTTTAATTTATTATTTTGGTTTTTAATTTAATTTGCTTAATTGAATAAATCGTTTTAACAGTTAACTATTGTGGACACTGTCGGTTATGGAGACCAAATCAATAAGGAAGACAGTTTCAAGGCAATAGTAGATTACATCGATGCCCAATTTGAGAATTATCTGCAGGAGGAACTAAAAATAAAACGTTCTCTGTCCAGTTACCATGACTCTAGAATTCACGTTTGTCTCTACTTCATTTGCCCCACAGGCCATGGATTAAAATCAATTGACTTGGTCTGTATGAAAAAACTAGACCAAAAAGTGAATGTCATTCCCATTATAGCAAAAGCCGATACGATATCAAAAATTGAATTACAAAAATTCAAATCAAAGATTATGGCCGAATTGCAGAATAACGGGGTCTTTATATACGAATTTCCAGTGGACGATGAATCTGTTTCTGAAGTTAACTCCACCATGAACTCACATATCCCCTTCGCAGTTATAGGTAGTACAGATTTTGTACGTGTTGGCAACAAAATGGTTCGAGCTAGGCAGTACCCTTGGGGTACCGTGCAAGTAGAAAACGAAACTCATTGTGATTTCGTTAAGCTTCGCGAGATGTTAATTCGGACAAATATGGAGGACATGAGAGAGAAAACTCATTGTAGGCACTACGAACTCTATAGGAAACGACGTCTTGAACAGATGGGCTTTAGCGATGTCGATGCTGATAATAAGCCGATAAGTTTTCAACAAACTTTTGAAACCAAGAGATCTAATCATTTGCAAGAATTGCAGCAGAAGGAAGACGAGATGAGACAGATGTTCGTCGTTAGGGTTAAGGAAAAGGAGGCGGAATTGAAAGAAGCCGAGAAGGAGGTATGTTTGTGCAATAATTACATATACATATTTTACTATGGTTCATTTGTTTTTGGACACCCTGTATTATTGCTACTCTTTAGACAAACTTACATTGCAATACATTTTTTTTAATTATACATTATTAATAGATATGTCTTGTACCTTTACTAGATGGTGTTAAGCTAACTCAACATAATTCTAAAAATTTTCCTAAAATTCTTCTCGAATGAAGTCATACGTTCTCTTAGATACCATATATCAAGGTATGCTAAAGAAATAGCTCCGTAGATAAAATAAAAATAGTGTTCAAATACTATTAATATCACCTTTTCCTTCCATTCTTGTTTCTAAAGCTATAACGTCATTTTAGCCAGTGGTCAACAAGAAATTCAACTACGATGTTTTAACCAAATCATTGCTGTATTTTAAAGATTGCTTTTTAAAATTACCTTTTTTCAAAAATGAAATGGATATATTACTTTTGTCATTGCTTCAAAGTTTCAATTTCTCTAAAAATCTTGTGTTTATAAATAGTTTAATACTTATAAATTATCACATATTTATCAATCAATCAATAATTAATGACTAACTATTCTATGGAATTATTTGTTTTGCATACTTAGAAATTTAGTATTAAACATCATATAGAGATTTAATTCGACGAGAATTGTTAGAATTAATTTGAACTTTATGCATTTTTAACAATTTTGCAAAGGACAAATATTTTCATGATTCAAATTTTTAATTCTTTTCTGTCATGTATAATGATTGAAATGTGGAATACACTATTTTAGAAAAACAACATTTACAATTAATTGCTTACAATATGTTCTTAGATCGCGAACAGAAACATTTATTGGGGTCTTGTAAATATGTCTTATCTTTTATTTATCTCTGTAGCTGACAATACCCAATTAATAAAGTAGTGGAAATATCTATATCTACTTAATCTTATTAATTATGATGTGGCTAATATTTTTTTATAGATGTATTGTTAACATTATTAGCATTTCTTTGAGTTGAAATAAGAATAGTATGAAAAAAAAAACAAATTTAATAGAACTACAATAGAAAGCATACTTTATTTGATCGTATTTTGTTCTATTTTTAAAAGCTCCATAGGTTCTGTAATGAAAAAATGCCATAAATACAACTGCGTCTGGTGAAAAAAGTGGTATTTTGATAATAAAGCATGGGACCTATACTGTCTTTTAGGGGATGATTTGAAGAACTTTTGTGCCAAAAAATTTTGAACAAAACACATTAAAAAATTAGAGCACCATTTTTTTTGCTTAAAAGGTAGTTTGAACCTTCTAGAATATGAGACAAAAGGTTTTATACATGAAATTTTTTTTTTTTAATTTTGCGCTTTTCCTGAAGCCTGTTGGGCGTCTCTCATACGCCTATCTGCGCTATGAACATATACGCTCGGAAGATACCGTGTACCTTCTTACTGTTGATTTATAACTTCTCTAATACACTCATAGATGTCGTTACGGAGTATGCGTGTACAATTCAAGCAAAATTTTTAAACAAAATTATGTAGTGTAACGTCAGTGTACGTTCATGTCTAAAACTCATTTTAAAACTTTAAACACGCTTTTCTCGAAATAGGCATTTTCAGAACGGCACACACCATAACTTCAACAATTTTCAATATTTTCGTTTGAAATTTTAGCCACATATTTAAAACAACATTTTGAAGAGAAACACATACGGATTTTTGGATAAGTTCATTTAAACAATTGTTATAAACAAATAACTCCTTTTTTCGTCAAAAATTGAACGATTTACTTCAAACACTTGCCAATTCTACGAAAAACAATATTTTTACAATCACAGCAATTTTTTTTTTTGTTCCACCTTGAAAGAGTGACTGCAAAAAACAATTCACAATTCACAATTTTTTCACAATTCACAGAGAATTTAAAAAAATACTTAAAAATGTGTTTTTGGTCGCAAATTACTTGTCTATCTATTTTCTTTAGTTCTCTGCAAATTGTGAAAAAACGGGAGATTTTTGCGGTACTATCTGCACTAGTTGTAGTGCGTGCCTTGAAACGCTTCGACGGCAACATGCTTCAGGAGAATGGCTCCAGTGCTGCCATTTTGAAATATTTTTTAAAGAAAAAAATTTTCTGTACACTTAATAGTTGCCTAATAACATACTTAAACCTTTCCTTCTATTAAAAAAAAAAATTTGAAACCTGACACATTATATTGAAAAGGAACAATATTTGATTGTCATGTTTAGACATGCATCAAACTATCTTATAGTCATAAAGCTGTCACATTCATGATGAAACACCCGTTTCCTTCAATATTGACTGGTTTCTTTTATAGCTTCATGCCAAATTTGACAAGCTCAAGAAGGACCACACAGAGGAAAAAAAGAAAATCGAAGAGTCCCGTAAGAAACTGGAAGACGAAATCGTGGAATTCAACAGGCGTAAGGCCCAGTATCAGCAAATGGGCCAGAGCCACCACACTCTCACGCTGGGGAAGAGTAAGAAAAAGTAATATATGGATTGGAAACATAAACTGACACAGTTTTTATGTTTTAAAATATTTATTGATACTTTTTAGCCTACACACGATTTATCTTCTCAAAGTATATATATAATTAAGAAAAAAAGTCTTGAAGAAATAGATTATGCTCGACTTGGTGTTGATTATGTACAGTTCTATCTACATTATATTTTTATAGCTCTAGTGGCCTAAAATTGATGCATTTATATTTGAAATTTATTTGTGTTTATGCTTTTCTAGTTTTTTAGAAAATGTATGATATTACGCTAATTATATCGAGCTTTGTTGTAGCGGCTTACGGGAATACTTAGAAACAACGCCTAAACAAAGCAAAATTTTTTCGAATAACGTATGAGAAACAATAGTTAAGATAAATTATTTACTATTTTACCAAAGTTAAATATTGTAGTCTATTCGATTTAAGTTTTTTATATCTTAGCAGTAAGATTATACGTCCCAATAGTGTAAGTTAATTAGTGTTTTATATTATAATTGGTGTCGTCAATATACTGAAATATATATTGCTGTTTGCTTTTAATTCTTATAAAGCCGTCTCTCCCGGCCTAACCAGTTTAGCAAATCTTGAATAGTATGTGAATTTCTTGGAGAAATTCGGTACTTTCTGGATTTTTGGTCGATAGAAGAATTTCCGTTTTATTTCCTTGAGATGCTCCTAGAAAATAAAGGTGGTGAAAAAAAATATTAGTTGCTGGTTTAAACTCATCGGAGATTGGAGGCTAAATCAAGCGGTATATAGTCGTTACGGTATCAGTTGGAACCGCATAAAAACATTTTGCTCCTAAACTACGGAATCCATAGGCGTCTAAAAAAATTCTTGATATCGTAACGACTACTATGCAGTTGAAATTTCAAATGCTATAACTACATTGGTATGAATCCTTTTTGCAATTGCAGATCGTTCACTCTATTAAGCTTAAAAGGGCTCTATAGCAGATAGGCAACCAGCAATACATTTTTATAGATTTTATTACACAGTTTGATTAAATATGAATTAATGCACAAATAACAGGGTTTCCCCCATTTTAACGTAGATTTCCTATAAAATGGACTTATTTTTAAACTCGAATGAGTTTTTGGTGTAAAGAAATTTGTAATTTGCCCCTTTTGAACAATTAAATGGTAAATTACAAACTTCTTTCCACCAAAAAGTTATTTGAGTTCAAACTAAGTCCATATTATAGAAAATCTGCGTTAAAATGGGGGAAAATCTGTTATTTGTGCATTAATCCATATTTAGTTACAACTGTGTAATAAAATCTATAAAAATGTATTGCTGGTTGCCTATTTGCAATACAGCCTTCGTAAGACTCCCTCCTGACATTCGAATAAATTTAAGGGAGAAAGAGCGAGTACCAAAACTATCGCCCTTTCTTTATACATCGTCTACACTTAACAAGCGGTGCTTCCTCCATGTAGTACATGCTCTAAGTGTAAATACTGCAGATAGTAAACTTAAAGGTAGTATAAATGAATTCTGAAACTGTTTCTGCTGCTTTTTATGCTTATGGTTACGGTAGTACATTATATGAAAAATATTATATTCACGGTGAACCTTGTATGTTTAGACTAGGCGGTATCTGTTTTGGTTTGGGTGAATCGTATATAAATGGAGATTTTTGGCTTTCAAAAACAAAGGTAAAATGTAATATGTAACAAAAAACAAATTGGATTTATAATAAATTACATTTAAAATAAATAGTTTATGAGAATAAAGGAATTTTTATAGGAACAAGGGTGCCAGACGTTAACTGATCCCTTCGTCCCTTCATAATGTAAAAATTATTCAATTTCTAAAACCCTTAAAAGCGTATCACACTGGATCCCTTAATAGGCAATGATTTATTACTTTGCATCGAATATGATCCTACTATAGTCACATTTTGTAAAAAATTTAATTACAAACATTTTTTTCCGCCTCCATTTTCGCCTAATATCAACTCTTGAAAAGATACATAAATAGGAAGAAAAATATGAAATTTTTCGAATTTTTTTAACATATTGTGCCGCCAAAAGTTAAGCCCATGTTTTTTTTATGCGCATTGAAAAATTTTCATTTCTAATGATATTTGAAAGCAAAAAAGCCAAAAACAGATAGTTGGAGCTGAGTTTTAGTCGTCACCTACAAATTCGATCTTTAAAGCCTCCAACCCCATGGCCTCAGTTGTTTCAATCGCTACATTCAAATTCGACCCGTAGTCTTTATGGAACAGTCGGCATAAACAAATTGCCAAACACTGGAAACTGGAACTTATTCCAAATGCTATCTAAAAGCTTTTTATTGTAAGTTCAGCGGGTGCTTGCATCAGTGGTTGCAATAAAACAATTGAGCAGTATGCATAGGTTTAATCGTAGAAAAATATGTACAAAATTACGTACGTATACAAGTAGAATACCCTAAAACTTAAATTAGTGTAATTTCTAGTAAACAAATTAGTGTAAAAAACACTACAAACATAACAAAATTCTAAATTAAATAATGAATTTGAACTTGGCGGTGTAAAAATGGTACTCACTAAAAACCTAAATACTACACAAATCATACCGTAGTTTATTGACCATGTAAAATTTAAGACAAGATTAGGCAATAACTTTAAATGAAGCAAAAATTATATCAAGTAAGATCAAAGTTATCCCGCTTCTGATAATTGATCCATCGATAACACTCCAGAAAAATATTTTTACATAAATTTCGTTGACACTAAATAAAATTCTATGCATTGCACTAGAAATTTTAAATTAACAATTACACAATAGGTGCTTTAAAGAAAATTTCATAATAATGAAAACTTTATTGCGATATTTCTTAATGCGGAAACTAGAATAAGTGCACCATATCGGTTACATCATACACAAGTAATTACCCACACAAAGCACAAACGTAATATATTTTATCCTTCTTAGTGACAATTTTATTTTATTATCAACTCCCAAACTTGATCTGTTTTCTTTAAACTTAACACAAATTGCTATTATATATTAAATGCACTTTACGAGTCAAACCAGTCAATACTTATTGCACCTGAAGGCAAGTTTTCGGATATAAAAAAATACGTCCCATCGAAACAAGAATGGAAAGTATGATTTGTGTCGCAGTACAGGTACTAATACGATACGATACTACTATTAGCGAGTGACAGATTCACGTGGTGGCGGACTACGATACTTGGCTCGGATGTGTAAATACTTGGAAGCGCTAGCGGGCCTATCTGGGCTATCTCTGGAGACGACTTTCACCTGGCAAGGATCGTGGCGTAACAAAAAGTGGTCCAGAGTGTCCCAGCCGCCGCCTACCCTGACCATCATGTGGCGCCCCTTGAGAAGCTGCAATAAACGAAAATTGACTAATTACATCTTATTTGGTTCCGTCTGCCACAAAATCACAAAAAAAATATATAAACTCCTACACCATAGTTACACAAGCTATTTCAGAATTAATTTGTTAAAATTCGAATTCGGACGGTCAAAATAAGAAAAAACTTACCCGGATAAATACGTTCTTCCCTGCTATATTATATTTCCCCTCCGAGACTTTCCTGACTTTCAGTTTATCGCACCTTCCGCTGGCGCAGTTGCAGTTCTTCTGCAACAGCCTCGCCGCCTGTTGCACCTTCCTGTCCAGCTCCGTGGTTGGCGTCGGAGTGTCCCCTCCACCCATGGACGATGGTCTCCTAGGTGTGTCGACTATGTCCAGGTCGGGATCTTCGCCGCTGCCCCTGGACCAATCTTCATCTTCTGTGTTATCACTGGGCACGCCGTCGCTGGCGCCACTGGCTGCGACAACCGGTAAGGACGATAGAGTGTTGTCGCCCGAGCCTCTGTCTGGTATGAGGATGACATGAGGGCCAGTGTTCCACCTATCGAATGTGCTCGAGATTGCAGAAGCCGAACTGAAAAGGATCATGTATTGAAATGTGGGGTGACAATTAAGTATGTAGACAAGCTATTATGGCATCATTTTGAAGAAAGTGATATATTACGAAGTAAACACCTACCTGCTGTGTCTCATTTTTAAATCAGAAGTATCCAGGCGAGGGGGCGACGCTTGGAACTGCCAGGAAAGTAGAGAGCTGAGTCCTGAGTCTCCGGAATTATTTCGCTCTTCCTCCGCGATTTCTTTCTCTAGTTGTACCAGTCCAGGAGGCTCAATGCCGTATTTTGTAGCTAAACGAGAAACCTCTAAAAGGCACAATATAACGTTCCTCGGTTGGTGATGTAGAACTGAAAAATACATTTGAAAGGTTGGAAAACGATCTTCAATCAAAGAGTTCATTTATTCAATAAATATAATAAATAAAATTTCCACTGACACTTTTGAAATTAAACTGATAGATCTGTTTACCTAAATCATCGCTTTCGAATAGCAAATTTTGATGGACGCCAAGAGACTTGCAGAATTTTATAAAATTTTCCATGTTGTCTCTTGAGAAAAAACTCCTTCTGTTTGCTTTTTCAAAACATTTTCCTATTACTGTGGGAGCAGGCTGAAAAAAAAATTAAACATATGATGATGCACTTGATGCAGGTCGAATTTTGGGATTTTTAGTTTTCTATATACAGTGTTTTTTTTTAAGTTGGGATAAGTAGATATGCTGGAAGATCTAGGTCATCTAGAATACTGCAGGTCAAAATTTTGAAGAGAAATTTCCCTTAAATGTTTAGGCTGGTATCATATGGGTCTTTTACACTATCAGTCACGTATGGGCCATTTTGCAAAAGATTTGAAAAATTACTAGTCTGAACTGCTTGAGGATATGTACTTAAAAGTAAGACAATCTATGTGGTTTTAGACGAGAAGCGCGGAATTTCTAAATAATGAATTTCTTTCCTAAGAGATGGATAAGCCGCAACAGACCAATATCAAGGTTTCCAAGGGAGCCACATTGAAATCTAAGTGATCCCACAGATAAAAATCTGCAGGATTATAATAAAAAAGTTTTATGTATGCCTGCTGTGAACATAGTGGAAGAATTACGCCAATGCTTAGGCAAAACACTGACTTCTAACAGCATGCACAGAGTCGTAGATACGTCGAGCGATAGCTTTTGTGAATATCAATGGTGATAAATTCCAACATTTTTAGACAGATCCGGACATATCTAAAACTGAAAAGTTAATTTCTTACATTTGAGTCCAAAAAATGTTATTTGAAAAATGTTCTCATGCTTTTGAGATCGATGTCAGGTTAAAAGGAAAAGAAAACTTATAGAAATTTTTGTACTTGTGTACTCATGTGTACTATATTTGTGTATTCTAGACTTCAAGGTTCACTTAGTATATGTACCCATGTCTCTGCAATACTTTTTAAAATATTAGAGTTTCTACATCAGAAAATGTTAACTAAATTTTAAAATTCGTCAAATCGATTGTAGATAACTTCAGTAATATTTTAAAAAATTAAAATTGATTTCAGAAAACACATTTACATTTCAGAAAGCATCAAAATTATTTTCAAAGAGTCATTAATTTATATTAATAACTAACAGTAGTCTGAAATATTATGATTTATGTTGTTATTAAAAGAATAATGCTTGTTGGTATCTGGTATTACTCAAGACAATCATTATACGAAAAAAAATTTATTAGGTGGAATTTGCATCAAATAACATTAATCGCATCAAGAAATCCCACAAAACAGTGACATCATAGAGACAAAAAAATTGCGACTTTTATAATTTGCGGTGTGTGGTGTTGTCTTAGTGAAAGTGGCAAAACGCGATTTCCACGCAAAATCTTTGTTAATTATCGAGTTAAGTGATCCATGTTTTGTGGGCAGGTTCACTTTTTATGCATCTGCTACGACGCCTTACCCATCTGTTATGATGACATCAATAATTGAAACAGCCCAAACTGTTTTCCTGTTTGATGTTCAAATTAAAGTTATTTATGTCTGATTTTAAGATTACGTTATAATTTATTAACTCGGTAATAATTCCAAATTTCTGGTAAAGGTGATCTGACGTTGCGATATCTTGGAATTTTAAAAGCCATAAATGCAAAAAATTGTTATAAAGTCATCTACCCGATGAGCATTTTTGCGCAGTTTTTCGTCTATTAATTTATTTAATTTTTATTTATACACGGCTTTTATTAAATCACCCGAGTTTGTGTCAATACTATCTTCTTTGACCCTGTAGAATCCAAACAATTAACAGTAAATTTAAATAAAACATTTTAGTTCCAATTCAACTTTTTCAAAATCAGATTTTATTGTCCTTATTAGATATATACTTTTTACCTTATCTTTAAATTATTAACAAATACAAGTCATCATCGCATACAACAGTGAGTCGCGATTTGATATCGAAATACATATTAATTTATTGTTTTACTGTTTAAATCAATTTATTAACCCAACAAATATTTAACCTTACAAGTCCAATGTTAGCTTCATGCAACCCATGAGAACTATTTGTTATTCTATAGTCAACTTACCCCCTTTACTTTACCAGCTTTTACGACTTGCCTCGCCGTTTCGCATATTATCTGAGCCAAATGCCACAAGACGACCCCGTTATCCAATTCGTTAAGGAAATTATCCCGGTTAATGTAATCAATACCTGAAACAAAAACACTATTTAAGCAAAATATCCTTGTCAATTCGGCGAGGTATATGGTGGCCAGTTGAAAATTTTGTTTATGACCTTCAGACCTTCAGGTCTGAGTATCCGATTCATACCACAAGGTAGATGTTACAACCTTTTAATCGATTCTGGTTAACCATCTACATGCTTATAATAACAGACAATGTTTTATTACCATACAATGTTCGCTGGAAATTTAAAAAAGTAAGGGATGAAAAAATATAGCGACACTTGATTAATTAATAAAATTCCACAAACAGCAGGGTGTATTAAGAATGGGACACAGCTTAATTCATAAGATCAATATAATTGAGTTTAGTATTTTCAGTCTTTCAGTATTACATTACAAAATCATTATTATACTGTTAAATATATATGATTATTACATTTTTTATTAATTAGATTTTACATTTCCATATAGAAACGTAATAAGTCGTAAATATAGTAATTTAGACGTCTAGGTAATACGTATAATAATAATTAATGGAGCGGAACCAACAATTTGCCATTCTTTGATGTGTATTGCATAAAATCTGTAGCGAAAAATCGTTGAATTTCTATGTAGATTTAGAAATGTACGCAAGTCAAGAAAATTAGTAGATACAATAGTACAAAGTCCAAGTAAAAAATATTCGGGCATTCTTATAATAAATTGATTTAAAACCGCAAGATGAATGGATTCTTTTATATTATCTGTTTACAATACCAACCTATAGAATTTGCTAGCTTAAAAAATTATCGGATTGAGACAAACACTTTTGTAACTGTATTGACAAGGTTTTGCATTACCTGTCTTTTGCAAAATTTAAAGCATTCTCCTCTTATCCAAACTGTTTTTTACTAAAACGAAAACTGATCAAGTAATCTAAGGTTACTTAATGTTGAACCAAGCTTATTAGGGCGCCTTTCCACCGCGCGAGATTCGGCGAGTGAATCACCCATCTGCTTTAGTTCGACCACTACTAACGTGAACTCCAAGCATCGTCTTGCTATCTAGCAAATAAATTTATAGGCGAATTGTTAACCGAACCTGGCGTCGTCTTAAGGCGCTTTTAATGACTCGCAAATATCCAATCCATGAATAGCGACGAGAGGAAAAAATGAGGAGCCACCTAATTGTTATATTTTTAATTAAGTTCCTAAAACCGGGATTGTTACTAGAATCATTGCTATTTACATAGAATGTCCCAAAAGAGAAACGATAAAATTTATTGCTTCATGAAGGAGCCTGTATATTTCGACGCATTGCTTAAGGGACACCCTGTATAAACAACAAAATATTTTACGCATTACGGCATATAATAAATTATTCATAATTTAATTTGCAATAGAATAGAGAGATAGTAATAGAAAAAAGTAATTTTACACATTTACACAAGAGATAATTGAACTGAGGTAAGGGAACTCTGTAATTCAAGTTTAAAATCTTTATGCAGGATGTCCTTCCTATTCAACACAGCCAATATCCCCCATCATCACAATGTGCTTTTATAGTGAAATTAGCAACAGATAAGATACGGTTGCGAAAGGCTAAAGCTCCTAATTTAATCGAGCACTTCCAAAGTTCGTAGATTAGATAATTAATTTCCGCCACAATTAGTCGCACGGCGATCATTTTCAAGTATCCTCAAAGTTCCGCACTAATTAGTGGCCCGCGATTTGATTAATTACCTTGTTAACAACAGACGAAGCGTTAAATTCTTTTTTCGAATTAGCTCGGTGATTATATTTTTGTCCGGTGATTTTCTGATGTTGAAGTGGGCGATTTTAGTTCGAGAGGAAGCGCTGGAACTACAAACATTTCAGGCCTGAAAGGTCCCACCTGAACTATTTCGTAATATTCAGTCTTACGTCATGTCTCCAAGAGAGTCATATATATAGTTGAAGTTATAAATAACCAATCAAATAAAAAAGAGCAACTGTTGACAAAATTCAATGTTAAGATTGGATACCTCTTACCATAAATTTAATTCAGACGCGTGCTTACGTAGAAATCGTTTAGAACTATCTATCATTGTCTGTTTAATTCTGCTTTCATTTTTCGAATTACACGCAAATCGGGCTATTATTTTATCATTTCCGAACCAGTTTGCCATGGTACGGTGCTTGGAACTGTTATGTTCATTAAATGCTGCTCCAAACGCGAATAAACGAATTTATTTAAACAAAAAATGGTTTTTGGTACCGTACAGTTCATTTGTTCAAGTCGTGAGTAAAAAATTTCAGAACTGCAGTCTAAAACCTCCCCTTTGAAATAATAGGTTTCACTGATTAATTCACAATATTCTCTTTTATTGGGAAAACTAAAATAGTATTAATTCATATAAAGCTGAATTAATTAATTTTATTATTCATTATATTATTATATACTTGATCATGGTTTTCCACTATGCTAACTTTATTTATATTGATTCGGGTATTTAGCAAAATTTCCAAATAAAGAGAGAAAACACTAGAGTTTTTTTAATTCCTTAAATTCTACTTGAGCAATATAATCGTAATCGTTGAGCACCACTCCTACAAGTCAATTAATGTGAAGCGTCAGGGGCTCCTCAAAGATCAATATTTGGACTTCTCTTATCCGTTCCATATCCAAACAATTGCTATCCTTCCATTCGATCCGAGGCAACTCACATCAGTGTTGAAGATGATTCTATTTACTGAAAGTAAAGAGTTTTCGGGCTTACATTTTTGTTTGTTTTTATAGATATAGCAGAAAGTAACACTACGATATATAGAACTATTGTAATAGACAGTTCCAATATATCTCCGGAAGATTAATTAACTGTTTCATCTATCTATTTTTATATAAGCAGATAGTTCATAACTCTTTCACCATTTCAAATTATGACAATTATTTTGCTGTTTTATTCCTTTTGACTATGATAGTTGGTTTTTGATCTGTCTTCACATTTTTCATGTAACATTCTAAATAAATAAATAAAAAAGACACAAACGTCTTCAAGACAAGCAGTTTAGGATTTTATCGAGGAAGCTTCCCTTACTATGAGATTTTATCTCAGCAAGGAAGTTCAAAGGTTCGGTTCTTCTTACAAATAAATTACTTTCTTTTTCTATTTTTCTACGTAATACCTCTAAAGCTAGATTTATGACCCTTTTTGTAGGTCTACTTATTTTGTAGCGGCTTCGCACAAATCTCCAGTCTTATTTAACATGTTAAATTAAATATAATTTTAGGTATTTTAAAGTTAAACTCTTCATTATTCAATGAACTACACTTACAATTAGATGAACATGGATATTAAACCTGCTTATATGGATTATGTATAAAAATATGATCCTTCATATTGCTTCCTAATACATTAATTGATTTTCTGAAAATAAAATATAGACACGCTCTTTTACCATACAGGATGTTCCAATGTTCCATGGGCATAATTGTGTAGGTAGTTCGCTGACCTTAGTTTTTAAGAAACGTGGTGACAGTTTATTTAATTGTTCCCATCTGCTTCCTGGGTGGACGAACTGGTACCAACAGTATTATTCACCGATCAGTTTGGTTACCAGAATTGAAATCATATTATGACTAAAATTCGGGACAAATAGCTTGTGGTAGAGTTGTACTCAGTTCAGTCTGCTTGTTATGATTCCAGTAATTGTAATTGTTGTTATCCTTAAAGCCAATCTTAAATATCACAAAAATTGAATCGCATCTCATGTTACATTTTTGTGAATAACACCCAAACAGAAGAAGATACAAATAGTTGAAAGATGAAAGAGAGAAAAATAATTTGCAAGATCCCAGATAAAAGTATCAGACATCTACCCTTTAGCTTATTTTAAACTGTAATTCGTATATGCCATGGGATATAGTAAAGATATCACATTTTCTGTATAAAATGCAGCGAAATTCTACTGACAAATTTTGCAGCTGCTATAAATTCGATAATAACTGTTTTAGCATCATACGACATTTATATTAACTTAAAAGGCGATGTCAGCTTTTATTCTGAGAACTTCGTTGCTGGAGCTACTTTATCTCACGAAAAAAAGTCAAGAAAACACATCCATTATCCATTTGAACTATATTAAGGAATTGAGGTACTTAATTGAATTAACTGCGAAGACAGTGACCCACAACATCCGTAGTGGACCAATAGCACACCGACGGTACATCGAGCACGTGATCTGAATTACAATTGACTAATTTAAGAATTAGTAATCAGAAGTAGTGCCTACTTGACTCCTATCTCTTCAAAAAATGGTTAAAATCCGACTTGTATTTTAAAGGTAATAAGTCAATTTAAATCAGATAAAACATTTTCCTGAAAATCTAATCAAATTAAGTAAAACAATGTTGTCAATGTAACAACGACCTCTGGCACTGACCTAATTTAGGTGAACTATACTAATATTAAAGATTATAAAGTCCTAAACAAAATACAGACCTTTTTACTTATTCAACCACTTCAACAGTTGAATCGGTGCTAGAATTAGATATAAAATTAATCCAAAACAAGATAAAACAACAAAAACAACGAAATGAAAACTTTGTAACTATGTTACACGATGTAAAAAAAAATTAAAATACTCGACGGTATTTAAAAAAATATACTTATGCGCTTCTAAAAGTCAAAAGTAGCTTCCACATAGTTATGACTCCCATTCAAAGTTACACCCTGTATATTTCTATTTCCTCATTTTATATGCTCAAACAAAAAATAGGAATGACAAACAAAAGCAGTAATTGTTATCTGTAAAATTCGAAGTAACATTAGTTCCACGGAATTAGCATAAAAACTACAATTTATACGCTTGGTACGTTCACCTACCGATTGATTAAAATAAATTACTCATATTTGCAGTAATAGTAATGTCTGGATTTTATTATTCACACCGTCTATTAGTCTGGATTTTTTTTTAATTTCTATTCAACAGCACTTTGAATATTCCAATTTTGATTTAATAGTAAACAAAAATTGTGGTAGATTGCACAGCTTCAATAAATTGACCAA